CAAACACCATTCTTATCAAATATACGTTCAGTATAATGAAAATGAACATTTTTAATCAGAGACAATTCACTCGAAATTTGATATTTGTTTCATTGATTTCAGGGTCGTGATGTACTTTTGGAAACACGAGATGGACGGAAGTATGAAGGCATTTTTGCGGGTTGTTCTCAAGATGTTCGTCTTAAGTATTTTGATTGCTTGCTTTGAATTCTTTCGGAACGATTCAAATATATTTGAATATCTTTTCAACAAGTTTTGCTGAGAATATATATGGATTTATTTCATTTTATCACTTTTTGAAAGTGAGCACGGAGTATTGCATTGAACGTTGCAAATGATCGATTTCAGTTCGACGTAGGTCTGCGATTAGCGCACGAATTACGCTCTGATGATGTGAATCAACTACTGCCACTTAAGAGCAATGTTATTGAGAAATTGGCATTTGGTCCTGCTGATGTGCTGTGTATGTCTGTATTGATGCATGATGAAAAACGAATTAAAGGTACATCTTCTTTGATCGATGACAGATTCGGGCGATAGTGAACAGATGAAATGATATTTGAGAGGATTGTGCTCAATGTACTTAAATGCTTGCAAGTTGTAGGTTTTGCAACAGATCAGGAGTACCAGAAGACAGCGGCTCGAAACGGTGTGTTGGAGGATGGTTTGGAGATGTCGAATGAATTCGAAGTGTGGGAAGCGGATGGGAATGACGATGAAGAGTTGGAGGGTGCGGTGGATGCGAAAGGGGGGTTGCGAGTGGCGGGCACGGGCAGTGAAGGGAGCACGGGGGGAGGGTGGTCCGTGGACGACATGTTCAACGCGAACAACGCTCTCGGCGTGAAGAGCACCTTCGAGGACAATCTGTCGCAGTACACAACGTGAGTGCTTGATTTAATTGTTGTGCTTGATTGCAGTTCACCGATCGAATTGCAGTGCGAACATCGAGGGTGACGGAGAGGCACGACTGCGTGCCGAACGGATCGCGCAGGAGATCGAGATGAATCCGGCGAGTCGTGCTCGGGCACGCATGGAGAACGACGACGAAGAGCGTGATCTGAACAAAGAAACGCCCGAGTTCCAGGTTCATTCGCATCGAAAGAATCAAAATGCCGCAGGGTTGGTTCTTAACTTAACATCGCTCGTACTCACAATTCCGATAGTAATAATACTTATGTAATAACAATAATAATAACGAAGTTGTTTTTCAGTAGGAACAATTATTCGAGTAATCCTCGAGGCGCAGGATTACAGAGCGGGGGTGGGTCAAATCGGGGTGGTGGTCATGCGATGTCAGGAAGACGTTCGGATGGTTCTGGGTCTGGACAGAGACAAGGTTGGTATTGATTGGTGAATTGATTAGTGAATTTAGTGATTGATAGAGAGTTAGTTATGATGAATGAATTGCAAAGGTCGTGGTGGGATGCATTCGGGTGGAGGTTCGGTTGCTAATATGGGCTCGAACGCCACGTCGCGATCGTTCACGAATTCTTCGCTGACCTCATCGTCACACTCAGTGAAAGGAGGCTCGGCGGGTGCTGGTGTCATGTCGCAATCTGCCACTGGAGGATCGTCCTCCACTCAAGGTGGTCGATTTCAACCTCCTCCCGAAAGACCGTCAGCTCAAGCGGTTCATAACGAATTTGGACGTAAGTTGAATAAAATTGTGTACGCATTTAATGCTAGCTTATTCTGATAGCAACGGGAGTAATAATTGCGATTGATGATAATGATTTCAGAGTGGTCGGAGATGCGAACGGGAGGTGCGATAACGGCGGGTGGTGGTGTGAGTGGTCAGAAGATGGGTAACGCCCGACGTTCTGATACGTCCTTACAACAGCAATCAAATGCGAATAAATTGTACGATGCAAATCACCGAAATAACGCCGCCAATCAACACACTTCGCATTCATCTGTAAATAGAACTAGTGGTTAGGAGTTTCTGTATTTCGGGTTAAAATCTTATTGTTAAATTCCTGTTTAGATGGGTTTGAGGAATGGGTGCAGAATTTAGAATTTATGGGCGGAATTTCGTTGGAATGAGANNNNATTTCGGGTTAAAATCTTATTGTTAAATTCCTGTTTAGATGAGTTTGAGAAATGGGTGCAGAATTTAGAATTTATGGGCGGAATTTCGTTGGAATTAGACTGAACTCGGTGAATCTTTCACATCATATAGAGGTCGGGCAATTTCAGGAATTAGTTCAGGATCTCAGACAGCGATGAATAAAGGAAGTAGTAGTGGAGCGGTAAAGGGTGGTGCTCAAACGGAACGTGTGAAAGGACTGCGAGACTTTCATCAGAATTTCAACAATACGTATCATTCGAATGCACAATCACATGAGGAACAGCAGGTGTGAATTAAAAGTTATTCGTCGCCGTTTTGTTAAGACTCAGTCAGTGCTTGGCATCACTCAATGTCTATTCGTCTTCATAAATTTAAAAGAAATCATAAATTTGAGAAGGGTTTATCATCGAATGTGGTCGCACCAGTGCCGACCACTGCAGCAAAAACGACGAACGCATGGAACAAAGGACCTCCAGCCAGTATTCGATCGGCAGCAGCAGCAGCAACAGCAGCAGGCACTCAGTCTCAACTCATTTCTGCAGGCGTAACCCCTCATGCCGTCCCTGGTGCTGCTGCCACTGCAAATCAAACACTGAAATTATCACAGTCTAGCGATCAGCTCAGAGCTGCAACCCAGCAAGCAGTAAATAATCAACCTTCGGCCTCATCACAACCAACCACTCCGCTATCTTCAGGTGCTTATTTTCATTTAGGAAGTGACTGTTTCAATTCAGAATGATTCCGATCCACTGTTTTGGAAATTGTTTGAGGCTTTATTTCAGAAAAATTGTTATGATGGAGTTTCATTTTAATACTGTGAAAAAAAAGGAAAGAGATTATTGTTTGGGTTTCTTAAATGGATACAAATCAAAGATTTGCAGTGCCCTCATCCCAAGCACAACCACAAACTAACCGAACCAAAACTCCTCCGTCCTCAACCACCACATCAACGAAAGTCATCGCAACGGATCGATCTTCAGACAAATCTATTCCTACGGATTCCTCACAAAGCCAGCATAAACCAACCGGCATCCCTCCGACTGCTGCTGCAGGCACATCTCAGAAGAGTGCACCCGCAACTTCGGCATCCGCCTCAGTCGCCAGGGGATCCACTCCTCCGAGCCGCACAACGCCGTCAACATCTCCAGTGCAAAGCTCAACTGCACCCGCACCAACAACCATACCATCGCAAGCTAGCGCACCCTCAACAGGCACGGGTGCAGTGATGGTGTCGTCAAGTCAGTCCGCTCAGCAAGCGCACTCGAATGCCGGCACCCCGACCCCGACCGTGCTCTCGGGAACAGCGTCGTCCTCATCGATTGCTCCGATCGATCCCACTCCGACCGTCACAACTGCAGCTCCGGGTAGTGGAACCACTAGTGCAGCTTCAACAATGAGCACAGCTCAAACAGTAACTGCAGCAGTAACGTCAACTGCCAGCAGCTCTGGCGGTGGCGCAGTGAAAAAGTTCGAGTTCAATCCGGATGCGCAGCCATTCACACCACGTTCAATAGCGACGGCTCAAGGGCTTGGATTGGTCGGTGCGGGAGGCTTGCAGGGCATGCAGACGCTGCAAGGACTCACCGGTGGTGTTGGCATGATGCAGGCACTCGGCCAGCAACAAGCTCAGGCTCAGGCTCAAGCTGCGGCAGCCGCAGCAGCCGTTTCACTGCAGCAACAACAACAACAACAGCAACTCGCCGCTGCTGTTCAGCAACCGCTCCTCGCCGGTGTCACGCCGCACAGTAACGCCACGGCAGCAGTGCATGCGGCAGCTGGTGTCAACGCGATCGCACCTCAGACCATTCCCATCGCACAGGTTTTGCTTTCGTCTCTTTCGGTGTTTATAAACGATATCGTTTGAAAAATGTATTGTGATTTGATTTCGATTAAGAAGTCATCAATTCAAGCATCTACATATTAGACTGCGATTATTGAATTGAAGAGTTAAAAATTTAAGGGTCTTCAACCAGGTCAACTGGTCGCGCATGCAGCCCCACCACAAATGTTTCCGTATGCAGCAGGTGCTGGTGTGTACGGAACTGCAGTACCTGTTTATTACGGTGCTGCGCAACCGATGATGCAGGTAGGTAGTTTATTTGATAGAGAGTGTTGTATGATTCGAAGGGAGTTGTAATTGATACTGAAATCATTTTGATGGCTTGTAAACAATGTTTTGAATTGAATTTAAGGATGTGACACTTAATGCAGTGAATAATATATTTGCAGGCTGGTACGGCGCAAATAGCACCCGGTGTGAATGTGACTATGAGTGGTGCACCAGGTATGGGTGGGGGTTCGATGGGACAGGGAGGTGGTGCAACTCCGAGGGGAGTAGCACAGCTGGGAGGCATCTCTAACGCATCGAACGGAGCAGGAGGAGCTCGTAGGGGACAGCAAACACTGCAACAACAACAGCAACAGAGCCAGCAGGCCCAGCAACAACTCATCCAGAGTGGTGCGGGCATGTACGTCCCTGCCGGGCAAATGGCCGCAGCTGCTGGCTATCCACAGCAAATGCTTCATGCGGCGCAGTATCAGGTCTGCAACTTATTTTCATTTCTTTGCTTTTCGGTTGATCACTGCAACTTGTCTCAATTCATTTCAGGTGGTTGGTTCTGCTTTGATTCACTCATCGAAATTGAAAAATTCAGCAAGAATGTCAATGCAGTTTTTATTGTCATCTCGTTTCAGGTTCCATTCTACACGACCACGCCGTATCAACAAATGTCGTTAGCATCAGCAAACGTGCCCCCTCCTACGGTCCCTCCACCCACGTCGTCTTCAGTCGCCGTGGCCGGAGCACCTCCACAGTCGTTTCAAGTTGTTCAGGTTGATGGCGTTGAATGCTTTTTTTGATTCGGCTTTTTTGTGGTTATATTTTAAGAGTTTGGATCATTTATAAAATGATTGAGTTGTTGATTGTTTCAGGCGCAAACACCACATCAACAAGCTTTGTATTCTCGACAGTTATATCAGGGTGCACAACCTTTGGTTAGTCTTTGGTTAATAGCTTTGTTTGTTTTAG